AATGGAAAAAAGAAGAAAATGTCAACAAAAAATACCTAGAAAGAGTCACCAACGCATATTACTTTCAAACACAAAAGGCAACTGATCTGGCACAAATCAGCCTTCACCCTCTCTAATAAAAGGAGAACGGACACAGAATGAGAATCGTACCCTCCATTCTTCCATCACAAAATTTAAATATGCTTTTTCTCTTTAAAACATTGATATCCAGGCTTAACTCACTCAGGAACGGCTCAAAACCCAAACAGAAAGTCTAGTATTATGCATATAATTATGGTTTTTAGTAGTGGGAATTTGTTCCTCCTTTTTTTCTTTTTTTTTTTTTCCATCTCCATGACTAGAAATTGAATTTTCTAGAAGTTTTAAATCTATTTAGGTGTCACAAAACAACCCTTCCTTCTCCGAAGGATGTCGCATAGCTGCTGCATGCCTCCAATTGCCTCAGTACCATCAGCAACCCTACCACGGTATGTGATACCTCAGTACCACAGGCCCGTAACTCGCTTGCATTCCACTGGCTTCTGGAGCTTCTTCCCTTAGGTAGAAACGCTCATTACGGAAGTTTAAAGAAATTGCTTTGTTAAAAAAGGCTACTTCACAACTTCCCAGTGGCAAAGCACAGCCCAAAGCCGTAAGCGCTACTTGGGATCCGTAGCGGTGCTGCTGAAAGCTGCAGACAGACAAGGGGTCTGGAGGAGGGCACGCTGCGGAACAGCGCAGGGCGAAGCAATGGAAAAGGGGCGAGGAAGAAGAGGCGGAACCATCACTGGGCTGCCAACACAGACAAGGTAGAAGAGAGATGCAGGTGCTTACACGACTTGATGTAACACCAACTCTGGAGAAAACTCAAACCTAGCTAGTTGAATCAACTCTGTAAGGCTCAACTTCTATCTACAGCGTAAAAGTTTCAAAAAACAGGCTAAAACATTTATACAAGAGCAACCTGGAAGTAACATCCCTATACTGATCATCAAAGAAAAGAAAACAAGTCAACAAAGTACTTCTTTTTATTTAAATCATGCCATTCCCATGCTGGCAGTTGCTTCCACGATGCTACCTGACCACGGAGCCGTCAGCCCCCTACCTAAAACTCTCTGGAGCTATTTCAAAGCATCCAGCAGAGCCGTGCAGGGCACCGGTCAGCACCACCACATTGTTTCTTTGTTCCTTCCCACCCCTTAATCTCTTTGAAGCCACATGTTGTCTCACATCCCGTCACTTAGATTACAGGATGCTTAGGACAAGAGCTCGGTTCTCATCCTGCATTTCCACAGCACCAGCAGCCTCTGGGTGCCCGCCCCAACGCGGCGTTACACTGTAGCCCCGCAACCTTTCCAGCTCTTTCGCATTCTAAATCGGCAGCGACAATCTGTCAAACATTTTTAAATATCCGTCAGAGGTTCCAGGGTGAAGTCTTCCAAGGATAAAAAGCTCAGCTGATCTGACTGGCAAAATCTGTCACTTAAACATTTAACTGAATTGCAAAAAAAAGTGTGTTAATGTGGCAGAGCCAACTGAGATTCTGAGTGACTTGCAGTAACCTACACAGGATTCGAAACAGAGCGAGTCACTCTTAAGATTTTTATCCCAATAGGCAGTGTTTTTAAAACATTAAAGTTTGTTGCATAAATCCTACAAGGCTATTTTTAAATGAAATGAGGTATCAGCACACCGTTTAACAACAAGCACTTTAGTCTAGAGGCTGAAATGCAGATTTCACATCCTCAAAACACGGATGGCATATACCTTCTCTCTAAAGCACGCTCAGAGGAGCTATTTTTAAGTTTAAAAATCTCTAGGAAACGTCACCTTACGTATCCCGTGAGGACAACACACTGCCTACAGCACTGTCTAGAAAACGAGCTCATGACCACACTCACATCCCAAAAGCACACACGCTGCCGTACCATCGGGGGAACTGCACCTTTCCAGCCCGTTAGGTAGGAGCCGTTAGGAGACCTCAAATCCACCCAGAACAGATCTAGCTGACTGATTTACAACGCCAGGCTGTATTTACATTACAGCTTTCTGCTGATGTAAGTTTGGGCGTGCCAATTTGAGTCTAAAATCAGAACTTTAATTAGAACTTCGTAATTACGTGGGTCCAAACACTTCTGCCACCCCTGCTGTGGGAGCTGGTTTAAAAATCTATCAGCTCAGAAGAAAATCAGTTGGTTTATGTCTAGTGCATTGAGAAAATAGTGAAAGCACAATAAAGTCAGCTGATTTATGTAGCTGTCACCTCTAAAAACACTTCTGTAAAATTAAACGGACAGTCTTGACTGCAGAATTAATACCTACAGAATAACAGAGCATTGTGGGGTGCATTCTGAGAGATTAAATACTGCAGCTGATGATATGAGGAGCGCTAAATTGGGGAGTGAAATCCCAAGGGAAGTGCTAGAAGTCCTGCACGGGACTTGAACAAACGCAACTCTGCAAAGTGCAGGGGGTTATGCATCACTGATAATTCAGGCAGCATTTCTCCAACAAAGCATGATTTTTAGACCTTTACAGTCAAGACCTCATTTCACCAAGTTCTGAGCAAGGAAAGCACCAGCCACGCAATGTCCCATGTACTCAAACCCGCACCCCAGCATTTGGATCTCACGGTTTACGGACTACAGATGGGCAAAAAGAGCAAACGTCGGAAAAGCTTTAAGTGTATTCAAAACAGACTGTTAGGTTTTGGATGGTCAAAGCACCCGCTCCTGTGATCAATGACATCTCACAAAGTGATCTTTGCCTCACTACTTCAACCTTTATCTGTCTAAACGCTGTCTAAAATTAAAAAGGTCCTGATGGTTGGAAGGAAGGCAGAAGATGGGCTTTAAATGACCTCACATATCCAGGAAGCGCAGCAGCTCTTAGCCCCCATGTGTACAAGAAAAAAAAAAAAAAAATACAGCAAGGTCAGAGGGCTGAAGAGAGAAGAGGCACCAACATTCACCCATGACAGAAGAGAGAGAAAAGGAACACAAAAAGCAAACAAGAATGTCAATTTGCCTTTACCAGTCCGAGCTGAAGATTTACAACTGCTGTTTGACACCAGCGCGGGCAGTTCTGTATCGGACAGAAGCGCTCTCCCATGACTAACTGCCTGCAGGTTCAAGAACAGCACTTCACTAACTCTGCAGGACAGAAACTGTATTTTAGGGTCTGGGTGCATAGCACCCAGCCTCATAAAGAACCAGGAACTTGCTGAGGCCTCTGTACGCTACAGGGCCACAAACAGAGGTCCAGACGCGGAGAGATAATCTTAGGGAATCACTTATAGACAAAACATTTGAAACAAATAACAGCTACAGTTATCTGAAAGTCAGACACAGTAGGGAAAAAAAAAAAAAAAAGCCAAGGCAGCAACCCTAAAATTTGAATAAAAGATGAAGCAGAACCATCAAGAAGTAGTTTGTAGGTCTGAGTATCCACAGATGCACGAGCCCATAGAAGAAAACCTAAACAAGCACAGGCTGCCCCCTCAAACTGAAAGTGACAGAAAAGCCACGCAAGAAAACTGAAGAGGGGAAAAGTAGCTCAGGAATTTGGGCAGGGACAAATTATAGATAGACGATTCCAATAGCACAGAGTGCAAAAATAAGACTGCAAAAGGCCAAGAAGGAAATAAGTCAAGGCAAGGAGAACAAAGAATGCATTTCAGAGGACTGGGCTGAGAGTGGAGAGGTCCGGCAGCACAGCAGTGAGTCCCTATGGACACATAAGAGACACACAGTCTCTACATAAGTATCTTAATAAAATAATAATAAAAAAAAAAAAAACACCACAGAAATATTAGCATATTTTTAGGCAGAAACTAATGAGTGAGCAAAAGCAACAATGATTTATGGAAGAAAACACAGTTAGAGGTTGGAAGTAACAGGGCCTATGGTAATACGTGAGAGATAAAGAGCCGAGTTGCATTAATACTGACAGTGGTTATGCGAGGAAAAAAAAAAAAAACTTAGACAAATTATATCAGGAAATGACGATGCCGTGATCCTGGGAACAGGCTCCCTCTTTCCCAGTACAAACTGATCTCTATTTTCTAAGACTCTAAGTGGGAGGAGCTACCGCTACAGGATAGGAAGCCTCCGAGACTTGTTTAGCAGCCTCAACAGTTGAAGTCCCGATCTTGTAAATAAATACAACGTTTAACTTCGCGAACGCCACTAATTCGATTAAGCCTTGCCGGGACCACACACGCTCGTAAAGAAAAAACACCCGCCGACGGAAAGGCCACGAGTCCCGCCTGGGAAGACAACAAAAACACACGCAGGGCCGGGGCTTGGGATCAGCGGAGAACAACAACAGGACGCACAAAGCCGGGGCTCTGACAGCTCGGCCGCCCTCCTGCAGCCGCCTGCAGGGCGAGCTGGCGGCGGGGGCTGACAGCGCGCCCCGAGCCTCCTGCCCCGCACGGCCACGTGCCCCCAGCTCAGGGCGCAGGAGGCAGCGCCGAGGTTCCGGCCGCCTGCCTCTCTCCCCACCAGGCGCAGATCGCTTTTTATTTTTTATTTTTATTTTTTTTTTTTCGCAGCGGGGAAACGGCGGGAGGCTGCCGGCCTGCGTGCTCGCCGCGGCGGTTGTTGTCACGGGCTGATTATCTCGGCGCACTAACAGCCTTCGGATTTCTTTTGTGCGCTTGACATTCCTGGCCCTCCACCTGCATTACTTTGTGCTCTTTACGTTTTTGGGGGCGTGTGTTTGTGTTCCTTCCCTCCCCACCCCCCCGGCTCGGCCCACACCTGCTCTCGGCCCCCTCCTCGGCACCACAACCCCCCCCCCCCCCCTCCACCTCCCCCCGATCCCCGCCGCCAGCCGCACGCCCCCTGCTCGCCTGGGGGCAGGGGGGTGCCGGGGAAGGCGCCGCCCGGAGCCGCCCCCACCGCCGCCGCCCCCCTCCTCCTCCCCGGGGCTCCCCGGTGGCGGTGCGGGCAGCCCGCCCGAGGGCCGCGCCGAGCCCCGGGGCCCCGCCGCGCCGGGAACAAAGAAGGGTTCCTCACCGCAAACGCAGCAGGAGAGGGACTGCCTGAAGTAGGGCAGGAGCTTGTTAATCTCGGAGAAGGACTGCGGGTCCCCGGGGTCGTAGTTGAGCACCAGGCGGCTCGCGGAAACGTAGAGAGCAGTGGCGTTCACCGGGTTCATCGCCGCCGCTCGCGCGCCGCCGGCTCCGGGCCGAGACGAGGGCGCGGGCCGGGGCCGGGGCCGGGGCCGGGCCGGGGGCAGCCCGGGTGTCACCTTGGGCCGGGGCCGCCCGGAGCCGCGCGGCGGCGGCGGGGGGGGCGGGGGGGGCAGCGCGGCGCGGGGCCCGGCCCCGCTGCTCCTCCGGCCCCGCCGGGGCCTGGCTGCCGGGCGGCCGCGGCGCTCCGAGGGGCGGCGGCGGCGCTACTCCAGGCCGCGGGCCATGGCGGGCCGGGCCCTGCCGCTGCCGCTGCCGCTGCGCTCCGCCCCGCTGCGCTCCGAGCCCGGCCGACGCGTCCCCGGGGGCGGCGGGGGCAGCGCGGGGCGGCGGCGGCGGGGCCGGGCCGCCCGCTGAGGTGAGGGGGGGTGGGGGGGGGAGGGAGGCGGATGCACCCGGGCCTCAGCGCGGCCGCATCACCGCGGCCTCCTCCGCGGGGCCGGGCCGGCGCTCCTGGCTGCGCGGCCGCGGGGCGGGCGCCGCCGGCGGGGCAGGGTCCGCCGCCCGATCCGCGCCGCGATGGCGACGGCGACCGTTACCCAGCGCCAACCGTCACTGCGGGGCCATCGCCGCGGCCGCCCAGCGCCGCCGCCGCGCATGCGCCGCCGCCGGGGCCGGGGCCGCGGCACCCCCCCCGCTCCCCTCCGCCTCCCGCCTCCCGCGGGTGGGGGGGGGCAGCGCCCTCTAGCGGGGCCCCGCCGCCTCAGCGCCGTCCCCTCAGCGCGGCCGCCCCGCCCCGGGCACGCAGCGCCTCTGGGGGCGCCCCCCGAGCCCCGGGCAGCCGTGAGGAGCGGGGCTGGTGACCCCCCCCGCGGTGCCAGGCGGCGGTGGGGGCTGTGTGCCCGCAGCTTGTGGCGTCCCCGCTGCGAGCAGCGCTGAGGGAAAGGCTCCCCGCGGCCAGGCCCCGCGCTGCAGTGCTGCCAGCGCCACCGAGGCAGAGTTCTGCTTGCGAACGTGTTTGGCCCTTTGGAACGTTCTCTGACAGAACTTGTCCTGCTCTCTCCGTGTTCACCTGGGTTTGCCCGTGCTGGAGTAACCTAGTAGTGACGCTGGGACTTTTCGTTGTCCCTGGCTCCTCTCGGGAATCCCCCAGCGTCCCAGCCCACCTCAGCGTGCAAACAGGACGCAGGAACTTAGGTCTTGATTCCAACTACACACACAGCACTTCTGGTCCTTGTCACTGCACAGCCACATTCCATAAATAGCTTATGTACCAAACCACGACAACAAACTGAAGTAACATTCGAGTATAACACCAGTATATTCTCCTATATATGTCCCTGTATCCCATCTTCTGCCAAAAATGCATACACACAAGGGGTCCCTGGCACCAGACACAGGCCAACACACACCTGCGTTAGTCCACCTAGTCTCCCTTTAGCCCACCTTACAAGACTTAGGCGCAGCTTTCCAGGGTAGATTCAAACTTCCAAGCATTTCAGCCATTATCCCAATCCTTGGTGTACATTCAAAGCACACCCCTCCCAAGGCACCATTTCCCTGCTGCCATCACAGCCCCTAGTACAAACCCAGTGTCCTGAATGCTTTTCTCAACCCTTCCCTGACCACATCCCACTGCTCTGGCTGCCATCTGAGGAGCTAACTTGACAGCTGACATCCAAAGGGTTTTACCAGTCTTGTCTGACTTCTGGGATGTAGTCCTTCAGGACATTGTGCATGACCTAGATCGAGCAGTTGGCATCTGTAGTGTTCCAGGACCAAGCTTCAGTATCCCCATCCACAGCTTTAACCTTAGGGTGTAGATGGCATTATTCTTACATTTTGTGATGGACATAGGTTGGGGCTCTACCTGAGAACAACTGCAAGCCTCTCAGGATAGTTAATGCAAGCTTCCTCTAGAACTACAAGTAAATCTTACTCTTGAAAATTACAGTAATAACCTAATACAAAAATGTGATAGCAAGACTGGGTAGCTGATACGCTTCTGACCAAGGAAAGCCCATGGTGCTTTTTTAAAGTATTGCCAGTTGATCTGCTCCATCTGACTTTTGTTTTATTCAAATGCTTGACCTGAGGGTCCAGGTTTCTACTAGCGCAGTCCAAGAGGCAGATATAATTTTTCCAACCTCTGTGATTGCTTCTATCAGCATCACTGTTCTCAGGAGCAATTCCTGAGGCCCTCAGTTGTTTGTGATCACTAGGACACAGAGTAGTACAATTAATACTAGGGCCTAGTTAGGGTCTTCCCCCCTTGCCCTCAGAGGTTTGGCTGCCTGCCTGAGCTTGAGGCCAGCTCTGATGTGGTACAGCTGTGTGACCTTGGTCAGACTGCTGAGGAAAGAGCCATGTTGTGAGAAGTTTCAGCTATGCCCTCTCTGTTTTGTCCTAGGAGCTGTCTCCAAGCTCAAGACCTCACCCTTTCCTGAGCTTTGCTGTGCCTGGCCTGCTGATTTCCTGCTCTTGCCCTGGACCCACCTCATCACTGCGGAGGTATGGCAATTGCTGGGCTGTCTCTTTTTGCTGTTGCTGGACCTGTTCTGCTCTTTTTGTTTGGGTACTGTGGCACTGTGTTTCTTGTCAGTGTCTGTATTGCCCCTGCCTGCCTTGTTGTGAGCTCCAGGCTCGCCTTCCCCTGAGGAGTAGCCAATTGTGCATCTCCCTGGTACTAAAAGCCTTGTGGTGCAGGTATTCCTATTGCTTGTCTATCTTTTCAGCTGGTGATATGTGCTGGATAATAAGCAAGCCCTGAAACACTCAACAAACTATTTCATATGCCAGTGGAAGCAGCTTTCAGTAGCCTTTACTAGATTGGCTCTGTGTTTATAAAATTTATTGAGAATGCTACTTAAAAAAAAAAAAAAAGTTCTTACATATCTTCCTTGTGTGTAAAAATCAACTCAATATTTCAGACCTGGTGCTCTTTCAATGTACCAAATTCCTCAGTCTTGGCCAACAAATAAGCACCTTCTCTTTACAAGGGGGGTTAAAGACTACCCATCAGCTACCTCTGCAGTTGCACACCCCTCCCTGCCCATCTGACTGACCAGCCCTCAGGTGACTGTGGTCACGGATCAATGCGTTATCTGGTCGCTTAGAGTCTGAGCTGGTGTGCTAATCTTTTAATTTACAACCTTTTATCTATTTTCAGTGTAGAATGAATCGGAATAAGGTTAGAATAGGGATGTTATTTCATTTCCAGTTCCTTTGAAAATTCTACCCATGGCTGCATTTGGGAAGAACTAGACACTTCATTTAGATTAGGTTAGAATATGGCCTATGAACTTGTTTTAAGCCTTTGAGTCTTTACTACAGCACTTGAACAGAATAACTTTTTAGATCTCAATGGATGGTTCATCGTAAATGTATTACATAAACTATGAGGTGATGGAGCTCCCTGTGTCAAGAGATCCTTCTGTTGTGAAAGTGGCATATCCTAAACCATATAATTAGTGTAGTGCTGCGTCTTTAAGGGAAAGTCACTGACTTACTAAATCAGCTGAAAAGGGAAAGAAAAAAAAAAAAAAGGTGACCATGTATGCTGCTCCAGAAAGCCTGACATGATGAAACTGGTGGTTTGGTGTTTTGTTTTGTTTTTCCCCAGACAAATAGGAGACCAATGGCAATGACAAACTTGATTCTAATTGCTGGCTTGTTGGGTTTGACATGTGTTTTCCTCTGTGTCACTGCATGCCAGATATCATGAAAAGAGAGACAGGGTAAGAATGAAGTGATTGTAACAGTCACAGTCTAACATAGTCAATGGTGCTTGTGTTTTCAGAGCCAATGTTATCAATTAATTAATAATAATAATAAAAAAAGACAAACACTAATAAATACTAAATCACAGTATCTACAGAAGAAATGAGCAAAATCAAACCTTCTCACAGCTTCCAAGAAAGACTAAGACTGAGTTTTGTCAAAAAGCAATCAGAAGGAAGTAAAGATGGTCAGCGTTACTCTGCAAAGCTTGTGGGCCTTCCTGTGAGGTGATCCTTAGTTACCTACACCCCCCTGCTACCATCCCAACAAGACCTCAACAAAACATCAATTACTTTGTTTGTGCCCCTTCCTTCCTTCCTTCCTTCCTTCCTTCCTTCCTTCCTTCCTTCCTTCCTTCCTAATTCTTCTTCCATTTTGTCATACAAAAATATCTTTTTTAGTTTTGTCACCCCCAAATGTCTGAGGTAGTATAAAAATGTGACTTCATAATCTTGGTGAAATGGCATACAGGCATCCCCCCAGCCCTTGGTTTTGCCTCATCTTGCATTCATCAATGAACAGGAGACTTTCCCATTGTAACAAGTTTTTTCCCTATGTGTCCAAAAGTGTTCTCATGTGTTATTCCGGAGTGGCCACAATTTCCAAAAGGAATTCCAGTTGCTTACTGGTCTAATATGAGGGTCTCTCTCTAAGACTGGTTATCTTTGCTTTGAGAAAGTCACGCCTTCAATGCCACGTCTAGAGATATCTTATTTTTACGAGCTATAGGAGGAGCTGTGGTGGCCCTTTCTTTCAAGTACACATCTATTTATGAAGAAACCAATCCCTGCTTCTTTATTGGAGTCTGTACTTGCAACTAGCCTTCCAAAAAAGAAGAAAAAAGGCATCTATGTTATCAAGCTCAAGACCTGAAGCAGTGCAATGCAATTTGTATCTTTACTGGTACAGAGGAATTCCCTGTTCTAAGCTAGAAAGTTTTTTTTACACTGTTATTGAATGTTGAAATACACAACCCTGAGCAGTTCTATAAGAGTATTTGTTAGGCCCACCAGTGCCCTGCAACTGTGGTTACTTTATTTTTAAAGTATCTGCTGCTTTACAGAAACACCTGATAACCAAGCAGGAATTTGTTTCTGGTTTGGATTCATAAGGCCTTGACACTTCATATTCCCCAGGAATTTTAAGGTGCTGGGGATCTCAGTACAAATGCTACCCTCTACTGCTGCGAGTTTTTCTTGTTGTCTACCAGCCAGTCACTCACAATTCAGTTACTTCATTTGGGTGATGAGTTTAAAAGGAATTATAATAGACTGAATTTGTAGGACACGTTCCTCAGCATTTATTATTCGGTACAGCTTTTCTCCTTTGGAGGATGACTGTTGTCCCAGCACTTCACGAACCTGAAACAGGCTAGTGGGTGTAACTGCAATCTCTTCTCCAGCTGTGTGAGCATGCCTGGCCTAATAATTGTTCTATCTGAATCGGCGTCAAGTACG